TGTCAAAATCCTATGGGGACTGTATGAAGCAGCATGTATTTCTTCAAAATCTAAATGCTCTTTTCACTCTTGTTATGTTGTTCAAATGCACAGGCCAGAATACTGACTGAAGCAAGTGCAGGTCTCACAAGGGTTCTGTGAGCATTTTCAAGGCATGTGGTTAACTGCATATCACTGCAGCCAATTCCAAACAAGACACTTGTTGTTTAGGGCAGGTCACTGCCAAGTAACTGATGTCCAAATAAGTCAGGATGTGCTCTGCATCAAGGTGAAACACTCAGAGGAATGCCTTGCTGAATCTGATACACATAGCTTGTTCATGGGCAAGTACATCTAGAGCAGCCAAGTTCATATTTCTGTAAATACAGACTACAACAAAACAAGCGAATCCTCTGAAACCCAAGTGGGATCAATGATATCCTGTTTGTTTCTCAAGGAACCTATTGCTCTCTTTTCTGTAAAGTCATCAATCAGAATGTTTTTATATTGAATATGTCTGTGGTAGCACTAGACAGATGCCTAATGAAAAGTACACCTCTCAGGTAGGATTCAGTGTAGGTTTGGGTGAAAATGAGAGAAGCGGTTTATCTGTGAGATTTATCAGCATGGTGTTACTGGCACGAGTTCAAGTGGCTGGAAGTCCTATAATGGATTTCTCGAACTCTTTGATTTTTGATAGAGGGGGCTTAATTTCTTTCCAGCTACCAGACAGCTAATCTGAAATTTAATTTCCTGCCAAAGAATTCCAATTAGCTCCAGATCAATGTACTGGAAAAGAAGATATGATGTCTTCATCTGTTTGATGGGTTTGAGTTATGCCTGGGTGAGTATGTAAATTATTAGACTGAATTGAAGAAATATTGAAATGGCTGAGAAGCTCTAATCAATGATGAAGTGCATCATATTGCATCACTGAACAGAGATTATCAACTATTACATTTGAAATCCGAATATGTAAATCTTAAATTTACATTTGAAATCTTATAACATATACAATGTTTCCTGGAGTGGCATTGATTTGAGCCAGCAACAGGATTATCTGAATTTTAAGTGTTGACCTGCCGTGTCTGCAGACAATGTTACATTTATTTCAAACACAGGTCCCACTTTATATTAGATGGCCTTAACTACTATGTACTTACACCATAAAAATAAGTACAATGTACATATTGTCTTGTTTTGCTGCTCTTGAGGTGGGATACGGGTAAGGTTAGGGACAGGTTTGGTGGTATGTAGGTTTAAGGGTTGGTGAAGATGTAAGCGATGGGTCAACTGTGTGACTATAAATGTAATTACAGAAATTAATTATAGATGTAATTACATGCAGGTATTTTTTTTTAATATAAGTGCAATGTAAAAACATGTATAAGTGCACTGTATCAAATGATTACTTTAAATCTTAGTACATAGTACTTAAGGTCACCTAATATAAAGTGTGACCCAAACACAATTATTGAGCTGCCAAAAAAACTACTGATAATTATAGACAATATAGTCTGGTTGATCTATGAAGCTGTTTATGTTCTGAAAATGTTGACATTTTTACAGACTTTGCTTGAATTCGCCTACAGAAAAGCAAGACATTTTTTCATCCTGCAACAATGTCTCATGGGTCTTCACTGCTTTTTGGCATTTTCCAAAAAGTCTTCTTTCCATTTCATTCATTCACTGCTGCTTGATCTTTCTGTAAAGTGTCATGGCTCGTTTTTTGACAGACCACTGTAAAGGATCAATTGACAGAAGAGAGGAACATTTATGTGTGCTTTAGACTAGGAGGACTGTTGTAGAATGTAATAAGAAATTATGAAGTATAAAAAGATGTGGATAGTAAAGGAGAATTTAAATTTATTTTCTTTGAACAGAATAATATATGCCCAAAGTACCTAATTGACTAATTAATCTATTCTTTGTACAACTTTACTCTTGAATACATCGGAGACAAAAAAAAAGGAAGAAAAAAAAGAGAATATCAGGATTTTGGACTGGATGGACTGAGCTGCTTATATGTGATAACAAAGTCTCATTCTAAAGTTTAAATCTTCCCATAGCTGTAGAAGCTATCAAAAACAGAGAGAAATAACTGAAGTCATACTTTTATGTCTTGTGTTTGTAATGGTTAAGTCAGTTTAAATGGACTTCCTCAGCAATTCCATGATCGAGATTTGCAAAAATGAGCACCATTTATGTTTGTGTCAGCTATGGTCCACATTTCAGAAGAAAGAGACTCAAAAGGAGGAATGACCTCACATTGACCGCTTTTTCTTTGACTTTGGCGCAACATTACACCTTCTCACAAGTAGGATCTATGCAAATACCTTACAGCCCCAAATACCTGAAATGCCTCTCTGACAAATAGCCCCTTCATAGGCCCTTCTGATCAAGCTAACATCATAAGCTTCCAGTGTCCGTTAATCAGGTCTGTAAAAGAGGGAAAAAGAAACATATTTTATGGCAGTAAGGGTTTCCATGGGCTGAAAGTTCAAAATTAGACATAATACTATACCCTGAGCGAAAACACACTTTGTATTGAAGATCAAACTGCCTCTTATTGTAATTAGGACCTTTAATATTCTCAACTTGCAGTCTAAAAATCCTGGAGTTATAGAAGTAGGTCAATTGCCACAGCTGGTACATTCACAACTCAGACAAACAACATTGCTGGGCTAGGACTCTGCCCTTTGTAGATCTACCTCAGTGGGAAAGCAGACAATTTTTTCCAAATGTCCTGTTTACATATGTGGAAAGAATAAATACTCCAACAGGAGTGGACTTGTTGAGTACAGCTTTACCACAGACAGATGCTTTAGCTCTGTGGTGGTATTGTGCATGGTGTTTACCAAAGTTAAGCTGCAGTTAAAGTCTTGTTCTTTTAAAATGGCGATTGCTGCTGTTTGCGAATATCTGTTACACTCATTTTGTTTTACAGTGCGCAATTAATCATAAGGCACTGTTATAAGCCATTTTACTCATTTAGAGTATGTGCTTAAATTTAAATTTACTGGGAAATCACATTTCTAGATTTATGTGCAAACTCCAAACATATTCATCTGCCATCAAGATATTAATGCAAGTAAATGCAACTTTGTAATTTCACTAATGTACAGCATTTGCTATGGACTTCAAACTTGGCTCCATCATATCTGTTTACAAAACCCTCTGAGCACAGGTTAAACTTATGAAATTCATTATGATAATAAGAATTGAACAATAAATTGAACAGGCTTCCAGTATTATCCTTCTGCCAAGAATAAAAAATAACTCCTTTTGTGGTGCGCTAGTGTGTAAGCAAGCATTGTCGCAAACAAATTAATCAGCCAGTGACAACAACGTAGAGGTTGCCTCTTCTCATGTGAGTTTTTTCCAGTATCCCGCAATTACGAACAGAAACAGCAACTGAAATACATTTTTGGACGATTCACAAAAACGTTGTAAGTTAAGGTTGGTTTGAATAGATGCACAAACCAGCATAAAAAAAAAGCTAGGGAAAACACACGCATGATGTATTGGACGTTTGAGTAAAAGTCCTGCTGTTAAAGATATGTAGCTGTTGTGACAATTAGCCTCAGTCATTTGTTCACCTTGTGCACCCTGCTTATGTTGTGTCATAGTTGAATGCCTGCTACTGTATGTTGGAAGAAGGCTGCATACTGTCACTTGTGTTTGAAGCAGGCCAGCCAATTAGGACATAATTTTTTTGGAGGAATTTCACAGCACAGGATGGCACCAGCACACTACATTCAGACACAGGAGCTGAGCAAGTCTATGACAAGATCAAGTTGTCATCCAAAAACCCACAGTTAAATACAAATTTTGATGAGTCCCTAATGATGCACACACACACACACACACATGTATGTATGCATGTAGATAGATAGATAGACAGACAGACAGACAGACAGACAGACAGACAGACAGACAGATAGACAGACACACA